TGTAGCTCAAGTGGTAGAGCACTCGCCTTGAGCTGAAGAGCTGAGGGACAGTGCCCAGGCCCAGAGTTCAAGCCCCACGACCGACAAAAAAAAAAAAAATTGTGGTATATATGATAAATTCTTGACTATATTTCCCCCCCCACCTCCTCTCTCCTTACCCCCTCTTGCAAGTACCTGTTTCCTAGTGCTTATTTTGTTAGGGTTTGCCTTTGTCTAAGGAATTAAATTATTTGTGTTCTCCTTAGGGTCTACCATATTTCAGTTAATACATTTGTAACTACTTACATGCCACCCGATGTGTTTACTTTTAGATTTATAGGCAAATGCTAGTTGCTGCAAATGAGTGACACACATAATCTTTGTTTCCCTGGGTCTGACTTATTTTGCTTAATATAATTTAGTTCCAGTCTTTCCATTTCCTCATGAATGGTACAATTCCATTCTTTCTGATGGATGTGTAAAATTCATTGTGTGTGTGTGTGTGTGTGTGTGTGTGTGTGTGTAGAACATTTTCTTGATCCATTTGTCTATTGAGGGACAGCTGGTCTGATTTCATATCTTGGATATGGTGAATAGTGCTGCATTGAACATGGTTGTGTTGGTGGCTAACCTTGCATGTGATATATTAGATAAATGAAGTGCTTTAAATTTTTTTAGTGAGATGTCTGGCTCATGCCTATACTCCTAGCTTCTCATGAGGCTGAGGATCATGGTCTAAAGTCAATAAGAAAGTCCATGAGACTCTTATCTCCAATTAACCAGCAAAAAGCTGGAAGTGGAGCTGTGGCTCAGCACACTGAGTGAATGAACTAAGGGAATGGCATCCAGGCCCCGAGTTCCAGCACCAGCACCTGCACACACAAAAAAAGCTTTTTTGGCAGATCATTTGTCTGGTCACAGGTGCTTGTACCTTGTGTATCCATCCGTAGTCTTTGATTTTCTTCCATTCTTTCATAAAAGTAGCCCACAGGCCTCATTCTAGCCTCACTGTGCAGTGAGGCTGAGTGGCGACCTGACATTTGCTGGACCTGTCTGCCTTGCCCAGAGTGGGAGCTGTGGTTGTGGTGAGTATGGTCCCAGCTTCCTGAGCTCCAACAAGCAGATGAGATGACAGTTGATGTTGCCACCCTTCTGGGCCTCGTCCTGGGTACTTTCCTCTGGATGGGTGCCAGGCTGCAGCCGACCATATGCCTTTCCTTCCTAACCCACCCTGGCATGTGAGGTGTCCAGCAGTGTGCCCCACAGAGTGCCCCACTCCAAGGGTGGACAGCAAGACATGACGTACATTTCCATTCAAGGCTGAGTGGGCCAGGCTCAGCAGTGGCCTGGAGATGGTGACGGATGTGTGACACTTCACTCCTTTGAATGAGGTCAAGAAGGAATTTATTGCGGGGGTGGGGGGTGGGGGTGGGGATAGTATTTGTCCCTTGACCCTCATTCTGAGTCTCATAATGAAGGCAATTCTGAGTTGAACAATTCTCAGTATTTTTCCTGTGAGACTTGTTTATGACAACCAACAATGGCAGCTAGTGATTAATGATTATGGAAGCATGGAAAGTCCATGGGGACTACTGTAACATTTGTGGCAGAGCACGTGCACACACACACACACACACACACACACACACACAGGAGATTTTGAATGCTTGTCGTATATATGTGCAGACACATCTGATATCAGGCAGTGTTCAGGAGCTAGCACTTCTGGGTCTGGAGCCCTTCAGGATCCAGTACTCCGTGGCTGCGATACCCAGCTATGGTTTTGTTCAAGCCATGAGGAGGAGGCCTCTCATCAGGAGTCCTCGCTTAACAGCTGTGGTACCAGCGACCCTACAGGAATGCCCTTGTGTCCGGAGCTGTGTGAGGCCTCTCGGCCACCCTGCACTCCCTAATTCGCACTCTTGCATTGGTGCCCTGAAGTCCCCTGGACTGCACACCTAACTTACGATGCCTTTTACAAACTTTACTGTGTGTATTTTTTATGGAGATCATAAGGATGGGCTGGGGGAGAGCTTAGAGGTATTAAGAGAAAGGCAGACTTACCCATAACACCAGTAACCCAGGTCTTTATCTGTGAGTGCCAGTCTGCCAGGCTTAAAGCCTGATTCTGTGATTATGTGTCCTGGGACAAGTTACTTAGTACCTTTGGACCTCAATTTCCAAGGGCTACATAAGTTGATCCAGTGAAGGTCTTTACATAGATCAGCACATATCAAACAACGGCACCAGTAGCCATCAACACCAGTGGTATTTTACTTACTGGGATGATAGTATCTGATGGTGGGTTAGCTTTAAATCTGTTATTTTCTTGTGAAGTTACAGTTGAAAAGTTGGTTGTTTGAGTCATTGTGGGAATAGAAGTTTCATTTTAGTAATTCTCTTTTTCTTCTAGGACAAGAGTTAAAACCGCCCTGGGATTGAGAGTATCTAGTCAGATAGATAAAAATGGTATTTTTCACATGCAATGCATGTGGTGAATCAATAAAGAAAATACAAGTGGAGAAGCACGTGTCTGTGTGCAGAAACTGCGAGTGCCTTTCTTGTATTGACTGTGGTAAAGACTTCTGGTAAGTTCTATGCAGTCAGGCAGACCCACCATGGAGGGCCGGGCCACAGTGGGGCCACTCCAGTTCTGGAAGCCTTGGTGCCACTGAGCTCAGGATAATGTAAAATCTGAAGAGAGAGTCCACTGTTAAAGTGTGTGTGGTTCTCTAAAGGAACTTTATGAAAACATTCACTTTGTAAGGGTGTGGTGGGCACATGCGATTGCCCAGTGGCAGTTGCCCCCATGGCCAGGCCCAGGGCTAAGAGGCATTTGGGGCATTTTTTGTTATCATGGGACTAAGATGTGCCCACCACGCTGAGGAGATGAATGTAACCAGGAAATGGCAAAGGAACCAGGGTGCTTGTACAGTGGACAGCGGGGGGAGGGCCCCGAGCAGAGCCCCCACCCTTGGCTCCAATTTAATGGTGAGACTCTGATCCACTTTCAGGGGCGATGACTATAAAAGCCACGTGAAGTGCATCAGTGAAGACCAGAAGTATGGAGGCAAGGGCTACGAGGGGAAGGCCCACAAAGGGGATGTGAAGCAACAGGCCTGGATCCAGGTAATACCCTCCCAACCCATCCTGCTGCCGCTCAGACACCTCCTCCTCCTCTGGAAGCTCAGAGAAGCCATGCGTGGGTTGCCACGCAGACCAGTTCCAGAGGCAGCATGGCTTGGGATAGATGGAGTGCAACCTAGGCCTTCTTGAACATAGTTCTTTATTTTCAGACCTCTAATTCAATTGCTATGCCTTTGGCCTTTGATCTCTGTGTTGATAGATTCTCTCAGAAATAGTTGAGAATTCTCCATATTTTTTCAAAGTCAAATAGAAACTTTTCAATCTTTCTCTCCTTCTAATCATAATGTGACTTTACAGCTCAAATCATGTTAAATCTGTCATACCTGTCCTCAGAATCAGACAAGATGGAAAGATGGACACGTTCTCAAAATAAGGCATTTTCTGCTTAAAGTGAGAATATGTGAAACATAAATGGCAAAAGCAATGAAATCCCAATGTGACTGAGAGGTGTAGCTTCTAGAATGCTGCTGACCTTCAGGACAGAAAGCTGGAGGAAGGACTAGGCAGGGAAGGAAGTGTTTTCTGGGTAGAAATGCACAGCTCCTCTCTGAGCGGAGACATTACCAGCTTCCTGAAGTGCTCCCCGGGAAGAGAACAGTTCCAGCTGTAGCTCAGTGCTGTGAATGCTGGCAAACATCATCCTCAACGCGGTCCCTCCCTCCGGTCCCCAGACCACTAGAGGGCATCCTTAGGTTCCTCTGCCGTCATCTCCCTCTGTTCCCAGTGGAATCCTCTGAAGGAGAGGTGGGCAAATCAAAGCCCACAGGCCAAATCTTGTAAGTGAAGTTTCCAGGAACACAGTCCTGCCCACTGGTTTCTGTGTTGTCTATGGCCACACTCGTGTTACAGAGGCAGCTGTGAGCAGTTGTGACAACTTGCAGAGCTTGAACTGATGTTTACCAAGGAGACTGGCTTGGTTTTGAACCAGAAGGTTCTACCCTTGGGGCTGGCCTTGGCCATTTCATTCCAGCACTCTGCTCTACTGCGTCTCTCGTTTTCTTGTTAATCTGAACAACTGAAAGCATAATAATGCAGGAAATACAGAGAGAAGGAAGCAACACAGAATCAAGCAGCCACAGGAGAATGTTGTGGATGTTTGCTGGGTTTCCCCCCAGACTGCGGATGGCTGGAAAATGCGCTCGCATGTGTCATGCTGTTTTCCTCTGCTGATTGGTTTATTGGTTATAACCATTTTCTAAGCTTAGGAAAAAAATGTGTAAACTACTTAAGGTTTTACATAGACACCACCACATTTTTTCTGTATGCAAGTTATCAATGAAAAGAAATAATTCTGTTCTTTCTGACTAAGAAAGCTTTATTTATTTTTCCTGCCACATGGCCCTCGCTAGGACCCTTAATACTGTGTTGAATAGAAATTCATGTATATATTTCTAGCCAGGAACCTGTAATCCTGGTACTCAGGCGGCTAAGACTTAGAGGAAGTCAGCACAGGCAGAAAAGTCTTCACTTCAGCTCCAAAATAACCAGCAAAAGGCCGGGCTGGAGGTATGGCTCAGTGGTAGAGTGTCATATGTGAGCTGGCAAGCCAAGCAATAGCACCATACTTTGAGTTCACACTGTGGTACCAGCACAGAAGTAAAAAGAGAAGCAAGCCTATGTATTTATAAATATAGGCATAAATACAGAATTTGGGCTTAGAATGTGGACTCTTTAACTATGCAAGAACTTAGTATAGCTTTCGTGAAATTAATTAATTGGTTGTTAATCATCTCTTTTTGTAGAAAATTAATGAATTAATGAAGAAACCCAATGTCAGCCCCAAAGTGAGAGAACTTTTAGAGCAAATCAGTGCTTTTGACAACATTCCTAGAAAAAAAGCAAAATTTCAGGTATGGTTTTGATTGACTTGCTGGGGTCCGGGCTGGTGGTCTATCAGTGACTGAGCTTGTGTGTGCTTGTCAAGGGGGTAAGTGCTTCCTTTTCTTTTTGTTCCTTTCAGAACTGGATGAAGAATAGTTTAAAAGTTCATAATGAGTCTGTCCTGGAGCAGGTGTGGAGTATCTTTTCTGACGCTTCCAGCAGTGTAAGTGAGATCATTTTCTTTATTTTTTATTTTAGTGATGTTACTGGGTCTTAAGCTTGTTTTATTTTTTTGCATCTTTTTTTTTTTTTTTCTATTTGTGTCGGTCATGGGGCTTGAACTGTGGGCCTGGGCACTGTTCCTGAGCTCTTCAGCTCAAGGCAAGCGCTCTACCACTTTGAGCCATAGTACCACTTCCAGTTTTCTGGTGGTTAATTGGAGTTAAGAGTCTCACAGACTTTCTTGCCTGGGCTGGCTTGAACTGCGATCCTCAGGTCTCAGCCTCCTAAGTAGCTAGGATTACAAGTGTTAGCCACCAGCACAGGCTTGGTGGGGTTTTTTGGTTTGTTTTTGGTTTTTGGTTCAAGGCTTATACTCTTAGCATTTGAGCCACAGCTCCACTTTCAGCTTTTTTGGTGGTTAATTGGAGATAAGATTTTCACAGACTTTCTTGCTCAGGCTGGCTTCAAACCATAGTCCTCAGAACTCAGCCTCTTGGGTAGCTAGGATTACAGGTGTGAGCCACCAGCACTTGGCTTTAGATCCAGTTTTAGATTTGTGATGTAGCATTTGAAGGCCAAGATGGCCTTATTTCTCAGAGAGCCTCTTTTGTGAGAAGAAACAAACTAGATTCAGTACAGAAAAGAATTCCTTATTGTGCAGAGAAATGTTTTTAACCCTCCGGTTAGGTTACAGGATGAGCTAAATCATGATGGATTTAAAAGTCTGGGGGGGGGGGGCTAGGAAGGTGGCTCAGTGGTAGAGTGCTTGCCTCACATGCATGAGGTCTTGGGTTCCATTCCTCAGCACATAAGCAGAAAAAGCTGGAAGTGGCACTGTGGCTTAAGTGATAGAGCACTAGCCTTGAGCTGAAGAGTTGAGGATCAGCTCCCAGGCCCAGAGTTCAGGGTTCAGGTCCCACAACCAACCAAAAACAACAATGAGGACAAAAAAAAGGCAGACCTGCAGTGGGTAAAGTAGGTGTAGACCTGGTTCAAATCATGGTGTGCTGTATGTGGAGAGCAGTATTCATTGTTGTATTTATTCTCTCACCTGGAGCTTTACTTGGGCCAGATCCTGAGCAGAAATACCTCGTATCTTGGGAAGGAAAACCAAACAGGCTGACGTGATATCTCTGAACCCCTGTGGAGGAAACTGTTACAATTTAGTGTATTTCCTAGTGCTTCCCTTGCAGGCGTTGTACAGTGAGGCCTTAGTTCCTTCTTTCTAGTGGCAGCCAGTCCTTCTTTATTTGGTCCTTCAGAGGAGGAGAGGAAGTGCTGTCCCTTGTCATCTGTGTGGTGATGGTGGAGCGGGACTTGGTTGCAGGCCTGTGGTGCCTCCGCCTGTGGTCCCCGCACCAGGCCGCCCTCTCGCTTCCTCTGTGGGCCCAGTGCTCCCAGGTTAGTTCAGCGCATGGCCCCGGCTCACTTCTTGGGAGGCGGGCTCAAAGAGGACTGCTGTGTGTGGACTGTGCGCTGCTGATGTCACTGTTGACAAGGGCTCTGTGTGCTGGTTTTCATTGGGTCATGCAGTAGGCAGAAAGTCTCTTGTTTTTTGTTGTTTTTGTCAGCCATGGGGCTTGAACTCTGGGCCTGGGAGCTGTCCCTCAGCTCTTCAGCTCAAGGCGAGCGCTCTACCACTTGAGCTACAGCGCCACTTCCAGTTTTCTGGTGGTTTATTGGAGATAGGAGTCTCACGGTCTCTCCTGCCCGGGCTGGCTTTGAACCTCGATCCTCAG